AGGAAGCTGGGTTCAGGAATCAGTCAAGTGCAGGCGACGCAATACTGAGCCAGCTTCCTGACTGCAGGGAGGGCCTAAATACCCTCCCAGGAAGCACCAGGTGATGGGATGATCACTCACAGCTGGGGCACACCCGCAGGTGAGTACTGGAGCTGCAGGTTCCTTACAGTCCCTGGCTGCTGGAGACACCCGCAGGCGAGCACAGGAACTGCAGGACCTGGCTCCAGCGCCACCTGGGGGTGCTCTGGATCCTGACAAAGCCCATAAATGGTGAATTATCATGTCACTGGGGATCCCTGCTGATCGGATGCTTGCCAGTCTGCAGGGATCCCCAGTGACATCATTCACCATATATGGACTTGCCCATATGTGGTAAATGATGAAGAGAGAGAGAGGGGGCTCCTTCTCCTCTCTCTCTCCCTGCCCTATGTCACGCTGACATCCTAGAATCACTGGGGATCGCTGAAGAGAGAGGGGAAAGAGGGCTCTCTCTTCAGCATTTACCACATATGAGCAAGTCCATATATGGTGAATGATGTCACTGGAGATCCCTGCAGACTGGCAAGCATCCGATCAGCAGGGATCCCCAGTGACACAATTCACCATATATATGGACTTGCTCATATGTGGTAAATGATGGAGAGAGAGAGGGCTCCTTCCCCACTCTCTCTCCTTGCCCTGTGTCACGCTGACATCCTAGAAGAGAGAGTGGGGAAGGAGACCTCTCTCTCTCCATCATTTACCACATATGAGCAAGTCCATATATGGTGAATTTTGTCACTGGGGATCCCTGCAGACAGCACGTGGAGTAGGCAGGGCAGATGAAGGAGAGAAGGGGATCCAAGGCTACACCGCAGCGACTCTGGAAGGCGGGCACAGACGTCGGGACGTGAAGGTGAGGAGAGAGATGGGTGGGGAGAGCTGCTGCGCATGTCCATATATTCGTGAACGTGCAGCAGCTCTCAGCGATCACTGTCAGTCACAGTGAGGAAGATCATTGGGGAGGATCCCGACAGTATTGTCTTCCTTAAAGTGACATTAAATTCGGGAGTTAAATCTTAAAAATATATTCACATACCTTAACTATCAACAAAAATGTATCTTATTTGTGTATCACTCGGCTGTAGATCCTCCAATCATCTCTGAATTGGTGCTGACACTGTCCTTCCTTCTGGAGGGTGGCTACTTTTGTTCCCCATGGTCCCTGTGTGTGTTGTAAAGTAGTCATTATCAGTACAATTTGTCACATACTTCAAATACCTGAGTGATCTAAAGGATCTTTTACATCTACTTGACATTTCAGTTTAGTTCTTCTTTAACTGTCTTGTAATTTGCAGCTGCCAAATCTGCACGGGTAATTGAGGTTTCAGAAACCGCAAGACGGAAGAGCAGCAAGGTTTTCCGGAAGAGCGCACGCCAATCCCACAGCGACAATGGGCAAGACCTTCCCGCCGACTCCCAAGACCCGCCTACCCAGGCAGCTCCTGACCAAGGAGGATTCATTTTCCAGTCATCCCAGGAGCCGTTCCGTTTCAATTTCTTGTAATGAATGACCTCATGGACAGCATAGCTGTCATTTGTCGATGGATGTCCTACACCAGTGTGCACCTCACCTATTACTTTTATTTAAGGGAGAGCTAAAAAAAATTTTCATGCAAACTAGGAATCCACCGATACTGATTTTTCGGTATCAAGTACCGATATTTTTTTTTTCGGTACTCGCCGATACCGATTACCGGTGCCCTGATTATCAGGAAGTCGGGCGGCCGATCATGACCCTTCGCCCAGCATCCTTATTGTCTGTGAAGCTGCTGTTCTAGTGAAAGAACACCGGCTTCAGAGGCTGCCTGGCTTCCTGACCAATCAGGAAGCTGGGCAGCGAGTCATGAGGTGCCATCCGGCCTCCCGATTGGTCAGGATGCCAGGCTGCTTAGTGACACATCATGACCCGCCCCCCTGGCTTCCTGATTGGCTAGGAAGCCAGCTTCACTTATTCCTAGGCAGCCTGGCTTCCTGACTAATCAGGGAGGCGGGTCATTACGTGCCACCTGGCTTCCTGATTGGTTAGAAAGCCAGGCTGAATAGCAGCACATGGAGCCGGCTTCCTGATTGGAAAGGAAGCCGGCTCCATGCTCCCTCGGGACTGCCGGTCAGAGTTGAGAGAGTTCCGGTATCAGAGGTAAGTATCGGAGCATTTGGGTGAGTACGAGTACTCGCCCAAATACTCGGTATTGGCACAGATACTAGTATTGTTGCATCCCTAATGCAAACCCTAGAATACTGCAAGGGAAAAATTGTGCATGCGACCTGTGCAGAGGAGTACTGTAGAGTTTCACAGATGGGCTGCTGACATCACATCCAAGATGGTGGCACACAGCAGCAGACTCAGGGATTTTAGATGAAGGGAGGCTTTTACAGGTCAATACCATGTATAAATAATCTAAATGTAAATATTCATGCAAATGAACGGTCTGGGGGACAGGGTCTCTTTACAAGAGGTACTGCAGAATGAGTATAGCACATCACTGCACAGGGCATCCTTCATCCTCCCTTCTCATTTAACAGCCATGCTGCAATGTCCTGTGTCCCTTATGTAGATGTAAGAGTGTATTAACATTCTACAAAGGGGGCGCGGAATGCCTATGACCTCTGAGCTGTGCTGCCATAGATCCTGATGCTATTACTCGGGAAACACAGTTTTGCAGGTAACTATGGACAATTCTTCCCTTGCAATCCCACAGAGTGTGCATTAAAAAAAGTGAGACTCGAGTCCTCCTTCAATCTACTGCTGAAGAACCATTTCATCGAAAGAGCTTGTATAGCCTAGGACATCAGAGTGCCTTTTCATTATGAATCTCTTTGTTTAATGATTAATAAATGTGCCGGTGAATGAGGAACTGGCGGACGCGGTTTATTATCTAAGTTGTCTAGTTTAGAAGAAATAAAAATGTATAAAAGCCATTATTTTAGTGTACAAAATAAATGACATTATTTGGAGCTCAGTGGCCATAAACTGACTAAATACAATTGGAGGATGTTAGATTTTTGTAACATTTTTGTTTTCAGTGTTAGTTTCTTGTGTGTGTTTGTTTTTTTAGCAATACTGGTTTCCTGTAAGATATTCAAGGTTGCATCTTCAGTAAGAAATTTAATGACGAACACCAAAGACACCCTGGAATACTTGCTTTCCTTGTAGCAACCACTGTTACAACATCCCACAGCAGCTGGTCAGGTGATCAAAAGTGCATAATTGGACTTGTAGTTCCACAACAGCTGGAGTGTGCAGTTTGCCTACCCCTGTACTACATGATCACTGCTGAAGGGAAGGATCAGGGCTGATATCACCGTTCAGCTGAGGTCACGTGGGATCCTGCTGCGGTACTTTTGGCAGGGAAATTTAAGTATATGTAAACCTTAATGGAATGGCATTTACTATGCTAAAGCACCATGTATCATAAACAGTTGATATATTTTGTCAAATAAAATACTTCTTTTCACCTTTTTTCCATGTCAGTGCTGCTGATCACCTGCAGCTACTTCCTGTCTACATGCACTCGACTCCAGTGATGGCCGAATTGCATTTCGTGGGGGTGGTGCTGGATGATGCACAGTTGGGGGGGGTGTTTCTGGTGGAGAGTGACACCGCTAAGAGCCAGACGGGGAGAGATGTGCAAGTGCTCTGCATCTCCTCTCCTTGCTCTTAGCAACCTGGGACACTGGCCGGTGTCCCATCAAGCTCAGTTACATCACTGGTTGCCAGGAGCTCAGTGGGATGCCGGCAAGAGCATCCCAGGTTGCAAAGAGCTGGGCAGGGAAATATGTATGTATAGACACATCACAGCCTGGCTCTTAGCAACCTGGGGCGCCCTGGCAGAAAAAAGAGGCAGCAGGCACACTGCAAACATTGTGCCTTGCCGCTCTGCCTGCCGCCCCCTGCACGTGACCCAAAGAGATGCTGCCTGAGGCAACAGCCCTGGTGACAACTATGCAATGTGTGTTTAAAGGTTCATAAATTTCAGCATAATATAGCATCAAATATAGCAATTAAACGGGTTCTTTTTTTTTTTTTTTGGTTAATATGTTTTTATTTAATATACATAGAAAAATATATAACACATTTATATAACTTCAGAGTAAGAAACAGACATCTTGGCTTATTCCTTAAATAGCTTATCTTGAAATGTCTCCATCTAAAAAAGAAAAAAAGCTGCTGCATTACTTTACTATCATCATAAGTATAGTTTTATATCTCACAGCCTTATATTCTCCATTTCTACTCTTATACACTCATCTCTCATTTATTCTAATTCCACATCCTCTACTGGAGAAAAAGGGGGAGATCTAAATATTAGGTGGGTCCAAGTGGACCCATTCTTAATTAGTTGCTCGCCCATGATTTAGCTTAACTTTGTGAATATTTATCATCATCCTTATGTGTGCTATCTCCTATATGTAATTCCACTTTAATATGTTATTTCCACTTTGTTCCCAATCCCTCCGCCCCTGAAATTTCTATTTACCTGTGTTTAAAAAAAAGAAAAAACGGGGGTTCTAATTCTTCCCTACTCTAGCCAAAAAAAGGTTTTTGTTTTAGATATACTTAATTTTTATCTATCGTGATTGTGCAACAGTCGCTTGTAGCCCTCATTGGGCAATCAAATGACAGGGTGACAACGCAGGAGGTCATTTGGGGGACAGAGGCTTAGTAGCAAAATGTATCACCAGCACACCATGGTCAAATCTTCAGAAAGTGATCATTTATTGATGCAACACACATTTTGTCGCATCACAACGTTTCGGGAATCGGGACCACTCAGAGTACCTTCATCAGGCAGGGACAGAGCCATGTCACTTGATAACAAGAAGTCCCTGTAACAGGATCTATGTGCAGGATGACCGAGTATTCCTTAATGAAAGGTTCAGATTAACAAAAAAGATGACTTTTAAAATGACTTGAACACATTAAAGTAGGGTGGTGGGCAACTCCGACCCTCCAGCTGTGCTTTAACTACAAATGCCAACATGCGTCGGCCTCTGCGAGTCATACCTGTAACTGTCAGCCTTGCAATGCCTCATGGGACTTGTAGTTCCACAACAGCTGGAGAGCCGGAGTTGCCCACCCCTGTGCTTATATTAGACTTTAGTCATTGGGTTTGCAGATGCTTTCATTTCGAATGTTCTGTGTGCAGTGTAGAATGATTATGTTATTTGTTACTTGTACATTAACCTTCTCACACCAAGAGAAACAGAATAGGGCCAACTGCTGTCTGTAATACACAGCTGTCAATCAAAAACAAGGCTCCAAAAGCCCCGCCCTCCTCCTGCAAAAGGGGATGCAGGGAGCAGTCTGTGTGGGAGATTGTGGGAATGGTATAAGGACAACAGCAGAGGAGACATACAGACCAAGACTGGATGGGACACACCAATAACTTAGAATATTGACAGTCGCTGGACAAGACGGATATCCCTCACAATAAAGCACATTTTATCCTGCAATCAACACCAGCCAAGTGATCCTGACCTTGTTTTTGTTTTGTTTTTGAGCAATATATACTTTTTTTGGCAAATTGCGAATTCGTTCTAGAATACATTTTGTACATTTGACCTCCTAGTAAGAACCAAGGAGAAAATTGTTATATTTTTATAGCATTGGACATTGATTTTTGATTTTGTTTACAGAACTGCAAACTCTTCTTACTTTCCTGACGTTGCCGTCGAAAGGCGATCCTTCTGATTTTGTGTGGTGCTACAAGGACTTGAGCAATAAGATTCCAGAGAGGTTCTCCAGGAACACAAGAAGCAGAAAATGGATGAAGTATGGATCTTGTCCCTCTGCCTCACTGTATTTGCCCTTTTCCTTTTTATTTTTACCTTAAAGTCCAGCAAAGAACCGGAGCCCGAAAGCATCAGCAAGAAATCTGCCCCGAGTACGGCTTCCTACTCCAGCTCCAGTGGAAAGAGCCTAGAGCTGCAAGAAGACGACATGGAGAAGATGATGGAGCGGCTGAACAAATTGCTGTATCAAGACGAGCCTAAGAAGAAAGAAGTCCATCAGGAAAGGAAGAAGCCTGTTGTTCAGGAGAAAGCCCAAGAGTCTCCTCTGCACATTAAAGACTTGGAAACTCAAGAACCAGTGGGCAAAGAGCCAGAGCATACCCAGTCTGCCTACCAGCCGAGCCAGCGCAGGGTTCAGGTATGGGACGAGGCCAGGAGGAACAGTCCAGTCAGCATGAGCACTGAAACCTAGACCAGAATTAGCAGCTCATGAATTATATGTGAATATAAATAACACTTGAGCTACAAAATCATTGTCCAAATGTGGGTTTTGATTTAATCAATTCTCTCTTTCAAAGTTTCCTCAGACATCAATGATTAATGTTATGTCCTGTTAGATGTCAGGATTTGCATGAAGTATATCGAAAGCTAAGACCAAAAATGTAATATATTGCAGTCTACCTGTTCTTAGATGTGATGGATGCATTAAATTGTCCTTTTTCGGGCTAAGTAAATCTCAGAAAAATTCCTATTGCTCCTGCCAGAAACCGTGTGTACCTTCTTGGACACTGAGCTAAAATCTAACAGGGTTAT